TGAAGCACAAAGATGTATGGTGTGGAAGGAATCGCTTCCCTTTTTCTGTCCCTGTGAATGGGATTGGTGATTCCTACCCTGCCTCAGCATGTGGCAATATGCCATTGCTCTGAATCAATGAACTGTTGTTTTAACATCTCTGTGAGGGAGTCTTAGCTGCAAACTGGAGTCGGGGGAAGAATGTTTTCATTCTGCCTAGCCTCTGCTTTCCACTTACCGTAGCAGAGTTCGCTTTCCTTTTCCCTCTTCTGCGTGCTTGTGTCTGGCTCGTTCCCTCCCGGGTTAGCGACCCCAAGGCTCCTTCAAGTACTCAGGTACCTTCTAAGAGCTTCCACAGCTCTCAGCTCCAGGGAGCTAGCCGAGACTCCGCCTCCCCAGGTGGCAGCGGGGGCGTGGCCTGTGGAGGCCTCGGGGGTGTGGCATCGGGGCGTGGTTTGTGGGTGGGCGGGGCGCGGGGACGCGGCTTGCGGGTGGGCGGGGTGCCGGGGCGTGGCCTGTGGGTGGGCGTGACCCGGTGAGGGTGGGCGGGGCATCAGGGCGTGGCCTGCGGGTGGGCGTGGTTCGACGGGGTGGGCGGGGCCGGTGTGGGGCGGGCCCGTGGGCGGGGCTCAGGCCGGCGGAGCTCGGCGGGCGCCGCTGGGGGCGGCTGGTGCGTCGCCGGGCTCGGCCGAGTGTGGCGCAGTGCTGGCCGCGCTTTCCCTCCGCCGCGAGCCGGGACTGGGTTCCGAAGGTGAGCGCGTGATACGGTCCGTGGGGAACGGAGCTGGGGAACCGTGTCGCGCGGGCCAAGTGGAGGGGATCCGGCCGAGCAGGTGTGGCTTGCGGGGGCGGGTCGCGGTGCGGCGAAGGGGCGGGAAGGAGCGGGCAGGAGCACCCCTTGCGGGGACCGCGGGAGGGAGCCCCGGGCCTCGCTCCTGGGGAGCCAGGGCGGTGGGGTGGGTGTGGGGGTTCTCCCTTGGCCGCACGCTTTGGTGCACCTGCTCCTGGGCCCAAAGCGATTGAGTTGTTCCACCTGCCCCTACATCTCGAGATGCCGCAGGTAGTGTGAAGTTCTTATATTCTTTAAAAATGTAATAATCCCAGTTCGTAGGTCAGGACTGGAGCTAGGGAGGCGACTTTGTTTTGACTTCGCGTTACTGAGTTTGCAAGAAGGGCGCGACTGGGAACGAGGTTACTTAAACAAGGACGCCACTGTGGGGATAAGCCGCCTGGGCTTTGCTTGGGTTCGAATGTGCTCACCAGTGGTGAAACCTGGGCCAGCTCACTGAGCAGTGGGGTTGTGATGCTTGCAACTTTATAGAGTTGATGTAAAAATTGAGTTCCTGCCTAAAGCTTGACATCTAGTCTGCAGCCAACTCTGGCTGCTTGCTTTATTATTTGTTCACGTGGGCAATAATCGCCAGAGTTGTCATATTCAGAAAACCTGCACCTCAGATCTGTTGCTGGAAATGTTTGGGGATTCCTTTGGAACAGTTTTCATAGACTTGAGTCCTGCGAGAGAAGAGGTCGTTGCTTCTCTCCCCTCCTGAGCATAGTGTTACCTTTTGCCAGCTTGTTCCAGATCAGATCCACTCAAATGATTACAGAAACCTCAGAATCCTGAAGGAAGGATGCGAAAAGGTAACAAACAGCTGATGAGTCAGTGTAGTCTCATTTTAAGGACTCAATTTGGTAGGTTTGCTTAAAAGCAGTCATGTTAAAAGTTCTCTTCTGTGTCAACAAGAACCCGGGAACAGCCACTTGCCACATGGAATTGCAGCATGAAAGGGAGCTGAAGAATCAGATCTGTTAGTCTCTGCAGAGAAGGATGAGGTCAAAGACTCCAAGCCAATAAGTGGCAGAGCTTGGAAAATCAAAAGCTGGTATTTCTTCTAGTTTTGATGCTAGTTACTTTTTGTATTTTTTAGTTTTATGGTACGATGAATGTTTTTTTCCTCTCTGCAGTACCCTGCTTGCGCTAGCCTAATTGCATGATTCATAATCGTTCTCTGGCACCTTTGATTTAAATCACAAGTCTCGAAGTTGCTACATCAATTACTGCTTTGAGAACAAGCTGATTGTCTTCTTAAGCGTTGTACAAACATGTTCTAACAGCACTTTGGTTTTGTTGTTTGAGAGTGCAGCCCTTTTCTCCTACGTAGAGCGCGTAAACAGGCAGTATAAACAGACTGTCCCACTTGGCAGCTTGTCATCACTCAGTTATTGGGGAAGTTTTCTAGGTGCAGAGGGATAGTGTCAGGAAGTGGAACCGTGAATGCTGGCCTGGGGAAACAGCACTGGATCGGGAAGAAGTATGTTGCAATGTTGTTGCTAACTTCAAACGTGATATGGAGTAAAATGATTTTGAGATACTGATGTGCTAGTTGCTGACTCTTTCCTGGGTCTTGGCATAGCTCACTCCTTCACCTCTGGGTATTTGTTTGGATGCTACTTTCCTACTTAGAATTGCACTCAACCTCATACTTGCCGTGTGTTGCTGTGTTCTCTCCTCCCCTTATGTCTTGCTGTTTTCTCCTAGTTACCTGGGAATAACTCATTGGGGGCAATGTTAATCCCTCATCCTGTGTTGCACTCTGTGCGAATAGCTGCCAGTGTATTTCACAGTCAGATTTTTGTAAGCCTGCCCCTCTTTATGTTGCAAGGCCTTTGTTTCTGGCCGTTCATTTCATTCTTTCTCCCTGTTTAAGATTGATTAATTGATTTAAAAGACTGACAGAGAGAGGGAGATTCTGAGACAATCTGTCTACTGGTTCGCTCCTCAGAGGATCGCAACACCTCGTGGCAGAGCCAGGCAAAGCTTCGTGGTCCTTCATGGGGGTGCAAGACCCAAGCACTTGGGCCACATGCTTTTCCAGACACATTAGCAGGGTATGTATGGAAATTCTGACATTCAGAATTGCCTACAGTGTGATCGCAATTGCACTTGCCCACTTGTACTCTATAGATAAAAAAAAAATATTCATTTCCAATTTAGGTTTGTAAATGTGAAATTCAGATATGACTTTAATGGTTATGACCTATAAATCCCAAGGTGAGTGTTGGCTTCATGACTGTTTCTCTTTTTGCTTAATGAGCTGGCCTTTTCCTCCAGTGTAAGTAAACCAGCTGGACTAATGGCTGTTTCTCGTTTGTACTGAGGACTTCTGCCCTCCTGTTTTGAATGCTCATCCTTCTAACTTCCCGAACATACCACCACCCAAATACCTAGATAAGTTCAAGGGACATGGCTGTTTGCTTGCTTGCTTAAGGATTTGTTTATTTTGAAAGGCATAGTGATAGAGATAGGGAAGAGACAGAGCTTCCATCTGCTGAGTTCATTCCCTAAGTGACTGAACAATGGCTGGAGTCTGGGCCAGGCTGAAGCCAGGGACCTAGAACTCCTTCTTGGTGCCAACATGAGTTGTGGGGAGCCAAGCACTTGGACCATTGTTTTTCCAACCGCATCAGTAGGAAGTTGGATCAGAAGCAGAGCCGCTCTCTGGGAGGGCACGCCAGTATCAAAAGTGACAGCTTGACCTGATGAGACAAGGCAGCAGCTGGGGGAGTGATTTTTCTTTCCTCTGAAGTCTCTTGACTTTCTTAGAGATTTTCTCCGATTCTACTCTAAATTGTAATTCTTCGGGTCCCTTTCTTTCCTCCTCACAATGTATAAGCTACTGGAGGACGAGAAGCACGCATACACTCAGCTGTTCCAGTTTTAAAGGAAAACTAAGGCCTGCACCCACTTACCTGTTTTTTAATTACTTTAAAAGATTTTATTTGAAAAGCAAGGCAGGATACAGAGGAAGAGCTCATATCACTCCCCAAATTCCCACAAGGCCTAAAGTGGGAGCTGATAACTCCATGCACATCTCCTACATGATTGGACAGGGATCCAACCACCTGAGCCATTGTAAACCCTCCCAGGGAAGCTGGCAGCAAGTGTGGAACCCAGATACCTCAACAAGTCTTAGCTGCTAGTTCAACCACACCCTTTACCTGCTTTCTTATATAAAAATGAACTTAAAGTTCTGTCTAATGGGCCTCTAAGTCATTAAAGCTTCAACAGTTGTGTCTGCAGTATAGACAAATAAGTTGAGGAAATTCAGTACTGAAAAAATAGATTCAGATGAAGGCATTGAGAGCTGGATTCACATAAGGGGATGAGAACCAATAAAACAATGTATCCAACACCCACATTGACAGGCAGATGTTTAAGTAAATACACAAACTCAGGAAATCATTAGGACAAGACAGAGCTCACAGAGCAACATCTGCAGCTTTGGTTTTTCTTGTGGAATATTATTCCTGCTCTATTTTGTATCTGGGTACACATACTGTTTCTCTGCTTTGTTTTCTGTGTTGGGCAGGACTGAACATTGATTTCCTCTCTGGTCTGCACAAGGTCATTTACCATCTTTTCATCATTTAGCCTAAAAATACATTACTGCATCCTTTTAAAATTTTTTCCCTGATGTGTAGAGGAGATGTGTGCCAGTAGCTTCTGGTTTTTCAGAGAAAGGCGATCCGTGTTGATGATTGGACGTGTCTGTTCTTGTAACTTGCAGTTTTATTAAATTTGCTGTCAACACTTGGCTGGACACATTTGGTTTATGGTATAGACATTTCCTTGCATATGTTGTAATTGAGTTTCTGCTTTATTTTGTGGCTTTTGGGATTAAAAATTGACTCAAATAACTTTTTTTCTTTTTGCCTCCCAAACAGCAACTATAGTTTTCCAATTCTAGGACATGATTAATCTAGTTCATTCTCTTTGTTCTTGATTTGAGTACTCAACAAATACAGGTCTAAATTTTCCTCCATTCCTGGGATGAAGCAGCAGTGTCTATGGATGGGAAAGGTTGCTACAGAAGATACACAGAAAGGTCCTAAAGTTTTGAAATGCTAAAAACTTGAAGATAAATTCCTATCCATTACCTTTAGTAATCACAGCCCATGTCAGGTCCAGATTTGAAATGAAAGCACAGAAATGTAGGAATCATAATTTAAATGTACAGTTGGTCATAATTCATGTGCTTTGAAAGTTTTAATATGCTACCCAGTATAGTTTTATTGCCTAAAGAATTTTGAAAGGAAATATTTGCTTTGGAATAGAATTTCCTATATCATACTGAATAAGCGTCAGTGTTTAACTTGAGTTCTCTTTGTCTTAAAAATGCTTTCATCAAGGGTGAGATCAGATAGAATCACTCACAGAGATAATAAGAGCTGGGAACAGACTGATGTTCTGTCCTCATTACGTGATAAGGACTGTGTGAGAATCTGTTAAATAAGTCAGTATTTGTAGGGTTGGCTTTGTTAAGCAATTATAGCATATTAATATGTGTAATAATGGGAATGATCCAGGGAAGTGGGAGACACTGATGACTTAGGAGACTGGGAAGACATAACATTGCATTAGGATCTACTGAGAGAATGACTGACTGTATTGGTCATATTTCCTATTCCCTTGTTGAAAAAAGCTCTCAATAAATACACAAAATGTAAAACATAGAATGCTAAACTAAAACAAACAAGGCAGTAATGGAAGATTAACTGGGGTAGGAGCACTTTAATAAGGGTGATTGTGATGATGTGTCAAAAAGAAAAAAACCACCAAAGTATTTGGGCAAAGACCTGCATGTGAAGACTTGAACATTCCAGATACTGGGTAGGGAAGGGGGCCTAGGCACAAGAGTCTGGGAAACTGACATGGAAGAAGGTACTTGTGGTGGGAGGCAGAGGGTAGGTCCTGCGGGGAGTGTAGGTGGTCAGCAGTAAATCAGTTTGGACTTTATACAAAAGGCAGTGGGAAAGTCATGGAAAGGGTTGAAACAGGGAGTGGAATTACCAGGTTGGCAGTGATGAAAATGATCACTCTTGCTGCTGTAGGAAGAATTGGACGAATACTGTAGAACAGAAACAGAAGCAGTAGGTTCTCAGGAGGGTCTGTGAGATGCCTTGGTGATTGTTGTCTTTGTGGTTTTAGGGTGTGTGTGTGTGTCTGCGCCTCCTCCAAATTCCTGCTGCAGCCATGTGCTGGGATTGTGTGCTCTGAATAAGAAAACCAGGAAAGCTGGAAGAACAGCAGGTAGTTTGGGGCCTGGAATTTTTTTTTTTAAAGATTTATTTTATTTTTATTGCAAAGTCAGATATACAGAGCGGAGGAGAGACAGAGAGGAAGATCTTCCACCGATAGTTTGTTCCCCAAGTGGCCGCAGCGGCCAGTGCTGTACTGATCCAAAGCCAGGAACCTGAAACTTCCTCTGGGTGCAGGAATCCAAGGCTTTGGGCCGTCCTCAACTGCTTTCCTAGGCCACAAGCAGGGAGCTGGATGGGAAGTGGAGCTGCCAGGATTAGAACCAGTACCCACGTGGGATCCCGTTGCGTTCAAGGACTTCAGCCACTAGCCCACTGCACCTGGCCTGGGGGCTGGAATTTTAAACCTTGAATGACCTTGGGAGGCTGAGAAGGATGGGGCAAAGTGTTAGAGCACCTGCTAGCATCTGCACCCCCAGGTAGTCTGAACCAAGCGGACAACACCACTGAGGTCAGTTTACAATTCAGGTAACTTTAAGGCCTTCCCCCTTATCCTGCGGTTTTGACTCTAGAATGCAAAACAGGAGGCTGTCAGTGCTTATTTCTGCCTCACCCAGTCTCCTTTCCTAAATGTAATAAAATGGAAACAGTTTCAGGGAATTAACAGGCTTGAGATTCTTGGGCATTTGTCACAAAACGTTTGGGTCCATTCTCTTGTGTTAGGATGAACATTGGCTATTTTACACATAATTTTTAATTCCTGTATCACTTTTTAGAAAAATCAGGCTACCTCAAATAAGAGATGTGAGAAACCTGGGACTGCTTTGTGATTACAGAGTGAGGGAGAAAAGCCAAAGAGGGTGGAGTTGGAATCAGGAAGGATGTGTTAGTAAAGAAGGAAAACAGGAAAGTTTGTAACTGATTCATCCTGCCATGTGTATGAGGGAGGGGACGGTTACTGTGTATCCTTCTTTGGCAGATCCTGTTAGACTTTAATCTCATCTGCAGTGAACCCAATTTACAAACTTGACAAAGATGTGCTGTGTTTGTCCTGAAACATTTCAGATGTGTTTGGAGCCGGAATCCTGAGAGGAAGCATTCACAGATACAGATTATATACTGTTACAGTGGACTTCCAGGAAAGTTAACCAGTTAGTTTGAGGTTAGAATTTTTCAGGAAGCTGCCTTTTTAATATAAAAGAAGTGAAATCCACTCATTTGGTATCTTCTCAACAATAAATCCCTATCTCCATTTCCTGTTTCCTCCTGGGTTGGGCCCTTGGTTTCCATACCATGCCCATGACATGTACATGTGTTGCTTTGTTTTAAAGCCTTTTATTTTAAAGCATAATTTTAGGTGTGAAGAGGAAGACACAGAAATTTCCCCCATTTATATCCTGTCACCACCCATACACAGCCGCTCCCACGATCAACACCACCCCCCACTTCAGTGCTGCACTCCTTGCAGTAGATAATGGCCCAGAGTCTGTGGTGTATGTGAGGGCTTTCTCTTGCTTTGTGTTCTGTGGGTTTAAACAAATGTGTAATGACATTTAGGCACCATTATCTTATCACTACAGCATATTTTCACTGCCTGCAAAGTCAGCTGCGTTCTGCTTGTTCATCCCTTCACCGTGTCCCCACTCCACCCTTTCTTTGGTTTTCCCCTCATTTTCTATTTATGATCTCTTGTGTTTCCAGATGAATTTTCCTGTTATTTTTTCTATTTTCGTACCTCTTATTTTCTAATCACAAAGCATGGAATACAAGATTTCTCAGTCTCTTATTTGAAACATCTTGGTTTTTAGAAAGTGATGTAAGAATTCAAAGTTATGTGTAAAATAGCCACTGATTTTTCTTTTTACTGCCTCTGTAGTTTTGTCTTTTCACAATGTCCTGCAGCTACATTATACTATGTAGCCTTTTCTAATTGGCTTAATTTAATAAAATGCATCTGAAGTCCCCCCATGTCTTTTTTTGATTGCTCATTTCTGTTTAGCACTGAAATACTCCATTGTCTGAATGCAGCAAACTTAATTGTCTCTTCACCTACAAAGTACATGTTAGTCGCATCCAGGCTTTAGCAATTATGAGTAAAGCTGCTATTAACAGCCATGTGCAGGTTTTTGCAGAGACACGTTTTTAACTGCTTGAGTAAATACCAGGGAGTGTAATTGCTGTATCATATGGTAAGAGTATATTTGGTATTGCAAGAAACTGCCAAAGTGGCTCTCGTATTTCTCAGCAGTGTGTGAGAGTTCCTGTTGCTCCCTGCTCACCGGGGTTTGGTCCTGCCAGTGTTCTGGATTCGGGCTATTATGATACGTGTGTGGTGGATCTCTTTGTTTTAATTTGCATTTCCATGATGAAGCATCTCTTCACATGCTTTATCATTTATGTCTTTCTTTGGAGAGGTATCTGTTAAGGTCTTTGGCTCATTTTAAAAATCAGGTTGTTTTCATTTAGTTGGAAGGGTTTTTTTTTTTAAAAAAAGATTTATTTATTTTTATTGCAAAGTCAGATATACAGAGAGAAGAGACAGAGAAGATCTTCCGTCTGCTGATTTCACTCCCCAGGTGGTCACAGCCACCGGAGCTGACCCAGTTCAATCCAAAGCTAAGAGCCAAGAGTTTCCTCATCTCCCATTTCGGGTGTAGGACCCCAAGGCCCTGGGCCATCTTCGACTGCTTTCCCAGGCCACAAGCAGGGAATAGGACAGGAAGTGGGGCTGCTGGGATTGGAATCCCCATATGGGATCCCAGAGCATGCAATGCAAGGACTTTAGCCGCTAGGCTACTGCGCTGGGCCTGGAAGCATTCTTTGTATATTTTGGCCAACAGTCTTTTTTTTTTTTTAAGATTTATTTATTTTTATTACAAAGTCAGATATACAGAGAGGAGGAGAGACAGAGAGGAAGATCTTCCTCCGATGATTCACTCCCCAAGTGAGTGCAATGGCCAGTGCTGTGCCAATCCGAAGCCCAGAACCAGGAACCTCCTGCGGGTCTCCCACGCGAGTGCAGGGTCCCAAAGCTTTGGGCCGTCCTTGACTGCTCTCCCAATCCATTAGCAGGGAGCTGGATGGGGAGCGGAGCTGCCGGGATGAACCGGCACCCACATGGGACCCTGGCACGTTCAAGGCAAGGACATTATACACTAGGCCACGCCGCCAGGCCCTTAGCCAACAATCTTTTATGGTGTGTTAAAAACAATCTTTTATCTTTTGTGTGTTTTGCAAATATTTTCTTCTCATCTGTGGCTTGGTATTCTTTCATAGCTCTTCCCTCTCTTAAAGACCTGTTGCTTGTACCTATAAGGCCATTGCCATACTCCAGGCCATCTGAGTTTTTCTCTAGTTGTCTTTAGGAGTTTTATAGTTTTGCATCTTACATGCCTGGATTTTCTTTTGGATATTCCTTATCTAGCCCTTTCTGCTCCCTCCTGTGGGTACTGGTGTTCCCAGACACTCCAGTGCCCTTGTTGGAAAAAAGAAAAAAAAAAAACCCTGGTAACTCTTCTGGCCTTCGTTGCTTTTGTGGCAGGCCTGTGGATACTGCCCTGCATGCCCTGGTGTGCAGGGGGCTGTCTCTGCTTGCTGTTAGTCTGGAGTGGATAATGATACTTACAGGTCTCTCACGCTTCTGTGTCAGTCGGTGTGCTTGATGTGAGAAGGAAATGGGGTTCAGGAATACTCCATTTTTTTAGAGTTAAAAGGAAAATAATTTGACCTTTTTACCAAAAAAAAAAAAAGGCTTTTAGGTTACCCTGAAACAAAGTTGGGCAAGCTTTTGACAGTAATTAGCACACAGTAGACAACAGAATGGGCACAATGGAGGGAAATTATGGTGTTAAAAGGCTTTAATCTGCCTTTCCAATAAAAATAAGTCTTTTTAAAAAGGCTTTAATCCTTATAATAAAATAGTTTTTAAAATTTTTGGAAAAAAGCCTAATTAGTGTCATCTTTATCTAAGTGTTTATTTTTATTGGATTAGATTTATGGAGAAAAGAAGAGACAGAAAGAAAGATTTTCCACCCGCTGGTTCACTCCTCAAATGTTCACAGTGGCCAGAGTTGAACCTACCCATAGCCAGGAGCTTCTTCCAGGTCTCCCATGTGAGTGTAGGGTCCCAAGGCCTTGGGCCATCTTCAACTACTTTCTCAGGGAGCTGGATGGAAAGTGGAACAGCTAGGACATGAACCAATACCCATATGAGATCCTGGGTTTGCAAGATGAGGATTGCTACATTGAGCCATCATACCCGGTCCCCAACTAGAGTCATCTTTTATAAGCAATATCTGTATCAACAAATTTTTGTTCTTCAATTTTGTAAAATAGTTATTTGAAAGAGTTAAAGAGTGGAAAAGACTAGAGAGATCTTCCATCTGCTGGTTCACTCCAAAATGTCCATAATTGGCAGGACTGGGGCAGGCTGAAGCCAGGAGCTTAGGTCTCTTCTGTGTGGACGGCAGAGGCCCAAGTGCTTTGGCCATCTTCTGCTGCATTCCCAGGTTCACGTTGTCAGAAACTAGATCAGGAGTGGAACAGCCAGGACTTGAACTGGAGTTCGTATGAGATTCTGGCTTCATAGTCAACCCACATTGATACTTTTTAATCATCTCAACATTTTAAATCAATAAGTGGTTTTTATGAACTGGCAAGTGGAAAATCTCCTTCCCACCCCCCTGCTTCCTTTCTCTTACTCTCTGTCCCTATCCCCCTCTCTCTGTGATTCTATCTTTCAAATCAATAAATTTTTTTAAAAAAAAAACCTCACAAAATTAGCTACCCCTGCTTTTCTAAAGCTGTATCGTTAACAGCATTTTTCTTGTGTCCTCTGTATTTCATAATTTCATCCTCTGTTGCCCTTGAGATGCAGCCAGCACCCTAGGCCTGCTCTGTCTCAAGCTCTTGCTTAGATGCTTCCTTGTCATGTTTCGAAAATGGAACAGCAGGGGCTGCCCATGACCTACTGCTGCCCAAGCCCTAACCCTTCCTGTGACCTGCCTGCTTGGCGGGCACCTGCTGGTTTGTTCTGTTAGCTCTGTCTTTGCA